CTACGGGACCTCTCCCGCAGTCTTGGTTCCATCTATGCCCTCCTGCCCGATATCGACGTAAGAAAGGAATGGCAGAGCACAGCTATTCGTGACCAGACTTGCAATCAAGCGCACTACATTGTACATAACCTGTTGCGTGTTCCATATACACTGAATGCATGAAAGTGTGCCGTCACGCGTGGAGTTGTTACCTCAGTTTCTCCCAAACGGTGGGTAAATTGAGACTGTGGATTTAACCAACTTGCTTTCCTCCTCAGCTGTATGGGCAAGACCACTTGGTTTTACGACAGTTGCTACCTAAGAAGAAGGGTTCGTTTTCCCCTGCATTCTCTCCTTTCGTGGATGGAGGACCAAATGGAAAAGACCCGACGACTACAGCAGCGCATGGTCGCAATCTTGAGCTCAGGAGATTGTCAGAAGCAGCAGCACCAGCCGAAGGGGGGGAGCAAACGGTGATGGAATTTGCGCAGAGTGACAGAAACAAAGAAGCGGAGGCAATGTTGTCAAAGACACAGCAGGAGAGAGAAAAGCTGGTGCAGGAGACGACGAATGCTCAGGTTGAGCAGCGGACGCTGCAGGTGCACCGTTACGCAGCAGAGGCGCAGGAGAGGATGGAAGCGATGGACCGTCTGGTGACGGAAGCAGGAGAAGACGTGCAAGAAATCATTTACACCTTGGGCAACTGGACGACTCTGTTGCCCCCAGAGTTGCGAGTTCGTGCGGAAACTGCGAGAAAACATATGCAGGGGATCTTGAAGGACCCGGGGGTGAGAGGCAGGTGTTGTCTGCTTTTCCTATACCGCTTCACTCAAAGAGAGAGGACAAGCTGTCTCTCTAGGCAAATACATACTTGCCAGCTTATCTCAGTTTCTACACTGGAGACAGCGTTGCTTGCTTTGAACCAAGTAGACAGCTGCATTCGCTGCTTGGCGAGCAAATAAGCTGGAGTCAGCTGAAAGAAAGTGTTTGTACCATAAGAACGAACATACGGTTGTCTGCGGTTTTGCTGAGTATCTTATTTCTTAGGTTCCTACAAGGTGCATTTGGAGTGTATTTGGCTTCCCCTCCACCGATGTCGGTTATATCTACGCGGGGACAGACCTTTCGCGCAAACCTATCCCGTAGGGCGGCATTTGACGAGGCCCCAGCCGGCAGCAGCAGTAGTTGCTGCACTCTGTTTCAGTTGGCTATACGGTTTGCTGACTGAAAGCCTACGGTGCACGGTAGAAGCTCTATACGTGTATTTGGCAATATGGCTGAAGCATAGGCCTCTAGTTGGTGGTTGGATTGTACATTTTCGTGCTGTTGTGATCGTATTCGCAGGAGTCCATTTATATCTGTTTTTCACCCAAGGCATATGCACTTTCAGGGAATGCTGACGCTGCTTCCACTCACATACCGTATGTATTGTGTCCTGTTTTTGCGCAGAGTTCTCGACGTTGGGGATGATACCGTTCCTTTGCGGTCACTCTCAGTTTGCGCCGGATGGCCGTCGACGTTTGAGGTGAAGACGTTTAAGAATTTAGATCATATGTTTATATTCGGTGACGGCGAGTTCAATAGTTACATTAAGGTTGAATTTGGCAAGAAAGAACAGAAATAATGAATTCATCAAGCACAGCTGCCCGGCTTTTACTGCGAAACAGAACATGTAAAACGGGCTACAGAAGCAGAGCTGAAGTTATCCGTAGCTTCTGTTCTTGCGCACGTCCTGAGCTGCAAGACATGTTTTTCCGATGGAGCTGTTTGCAGATTCAGCTGGTACCAGGCGTACCAACACATCCCCTTTTGAAAGTGATTTTTATGTATGAGGCAGCCGTAAATCGCCAATCTAGGAGCAGTGCTGAAATTCGCTAACACCTCTTGTTTGCTTTGCTCACCAATCCATAGCCGTACGAATGAGCTTTCTAGAACAGCTTGCATACGGAGATGTGTACAGATTAGGAGGAGCGCACGAAGAGGAAACGAAAGCACAAGCTTTGTAGGTTTCTGAGCATTCTCATGTAGGTCGCATCACGAAGGAAAAACCGAAAAAAACTCCTCCGGGTCAGGGTTGTGTTCGGGGCACAGTATAGTCCTCATTGCCTTTGCGTAACTGTCACATTCGCCG